AACCCATGCTTTCCTGGCAGTAGTGGCCTTTTGGGCCTGAAAAACCAAGATGGCTGTGTGGATTGGACCTGGGAATCACATGATGTGGTCCCTGGGTCCAATCCACACAGGGCCCACACCTGGCAAGACCCGGATCTTACCTGAAGATCCAGATCTTACTAGGTATTTAATTAATTCAGAACATACTAGGGAAACCTGGTTTATTTTGAATTAATTTATTTTTACGGGAGGTGTCATTAGGAAACCTCCTATAAAAAAATGCAGACAGGTCCCAGGATATGGACCTGTCTGGACGGGCCCTAAATCTCTGGGGCTAGGGAGGGAAAGGCAGCTGTCCCTTCTTTAAAAGTGAAGATTATCACCTTTCCACCCTTCGCTGTACCCACCACAACTTCTTCTCTGATGTGTGCATGAGTAAAAACAGACAGGAATCCAATCTGTGAACAAAGGCCTGAGAAACACAAACAATTATGCCCCTTCGTTTCATCAGCTTCTGCTTGGCAGACTAAACAGTCCTGCTGCTTTTGCTTTTCCTTTGCACAGACACCCACTCAGATGTGTTTTGTCAGCTTCTCTCAACATGGCTTGCTCGAAGCTCAGCCACCTGATCTCCTAATAAATCACTAGATACATTCGTAGAAGAATGGAAACCTTCCTATCAATATATATCTGAGCAAGATAAAAAATACTTTGTGTACAGGTATAGAAAGATATACTGTTGGGGTATTCATTTGTCAAATTAAAAGCAAGCAGAAGTGAGTAACTTGCTGGATATAAGGTGGAAGGAAACATGTTAACTATTGAAAAACTGACAAAAAGGAAGCAGGAAATCCTCTTTTAAAACTAACGTATTTATATATGTCTGTATTTCAGATTTATGTTTAGTCAGGGAAATATGGTGGTGAAAAAAACTGTGCAGTTAGCTGCATAAACGTTGTTTCAGTTACACAGGTGTGGGTAAACTTCGGGCCTCCAGGTGTTTTGGACTTCAACTCCCACAATTCCTAACAGCCTCTCTGGTGGCCAGATATGTGGGCAGAAAGAGAAAAGGGGAATTTTAATGAGGAAAAGGCTGGAGGCATGACCCAACACAGTATAAATGTCAGTAAACACAATGTAATAGTTTCAGTGTTGGACAAGGACTCAGGAGATCAAGGTTTGAAACCCTGCCCAGCCATGGGAACTTTCTGGGTGGCCTTCGGCAAGTCACACTCTCGCAGCCTTTAATGAAAAGCAATGGCAAACCCCTAAATAAAACTTGCCAAGAAAAACCAGAATAATTGCTTGTTGTTTTTCATTCATTCAGTTGTTTCTGACTCTTCGTGACTTCATGGACCAGTCCACGCCAGAGCTCCCTGTCGGTCGTCACCACCCGCAGCTCCTTCAAGGTCAATCCAGTCACTTCAAGGATACCATCCATCCATCTTGCCCTTGGTCGGCCCCTCTTCCCCTTTCCTTCCATTTTCCCCAGCATCATTGGCTTCTCTAAGCTTTCCTTTCTTCTCATGATGTGGCCAAAGTACTTCATCTTGGCCTCTACTATCCTTCCCTCCAATTAACAGTCAAGCTTTATTTCTTGAAGTATGGACTGGTTGGATCTTCTCACTGTCCAAGGCACTCCAACACTACAGTTCAGTTCCATATCTTCCTTCTCTCAGCCTTCCCTATTGTCTAGCTCTCACATCCGTAGGTGACTATGGAGAATACCATGGCTTTGACTATGCGGATCTTTGTTGCCAGTGTGATGTCTCTACTTTTCACTATTTTATCAAGATTGGTCATTGCTCTCCTTCCAAGAAGTAAGCATCTCCTGATTTCCTGGCTGTAGTCTGCGTCTGCAGTAATCTTTGCACCTAGAAATACAAAGTCTGTCACTGCCTCCACGTTTTCTCCCTATATTTCCCAGTTGTCAATCATTTTTGTTGCCATAATCTTGGGATTTTTTTTATGTTTAACTGCAACCCAGCTTTTGTGCTTTCTTCTTTCACCTTGATTAGAAGGCTCCTCAGCTCCTCCTCGCTTTCAGCCCTCAAAGTGGTATCATCTGCATATCTAAGGTTGTTAATGTTTCTTCCAGCAATTTTCACTCAAGCCTTGCATTCCTCAAGCCCTGCACATCGCATGATGTGTTCCGCATACAAGTTGAATAGGTTGAATAGTTGAATAATTGCTTACACCTCACCAACTACTAGTATGTACCTCTTCATAGAGTTTATAACTAAAAGAATCAAACTCTCACGTACTTCACTCTTCCCTTGGTTTTGAGAGTATTAAACTTCTTTTTACCATGCACTCACTATGTCCATACTTCCTTAGTTTTAAGAAAACAGTAGCAGTTTTGGGTTGCTGTGAGTTTCTCTCCTGACGTTTCACCCACATCTATGACAGGCATCCTCAGAGGTTGTGAGGTCTCGTGCCATAGATGTGGGTGAAACGTCAGGAGAGAATACTTCTGGAACATGGCCAGACAGCCCGGAAAACTCACAGCAACCCAGTGATTCTGGCTATGAAAGCCTTTGACAACACAGTGGCATTTTTTGTGATTTTGGACCACCGTCTCGGAAATGATTAAAGCTTCTGTTGTTCAGATAATCTGAGTAATGCAGAGCGCCACAGCCAAAACAAAATTTCCATTGTGAAGTGTGGATTGTAGCAAGTGCTTGGACAGAAGTCATGACTACGAGACCCAGCTGCATCCTGTATTCCTGTTCAACTTCCTATCTGGTCTCCTTAAGGAAGCAGGAAAGGGCTCCTGATCAGCAGCTGCTTCCAATCTGTAGGTCGTATGTGTTTCTTAAAGCACTGCTCTATTTATCTTAGATTAGTCGTCTCATCTACTGTAGATTTGGACAGTGGCTTGATACTCAAGGGGACTGGCATCTTCAGTAGTTGTGTCAACATCCCAAGATGTCAGGGGACTTCAACTCCTAGAATCCCTCACAACTGACTCTAGTTTCTGAGAATAGTGGGAGTTGTAGTTCAATAACATGCTAACTACAGTTGTGAATTTCCATAAGCCATGCTCTATGGGACTATTTTGAATTGTTGCCCACACCACCTGGCCTGTACCAGGTTGGTGTGAGCAGAACTAAACAATAAACATTTCGTTTAGGTTAGGGCAGATTGGTCAAAGTGTTACGATTGCTTTCAAAGGGCTGTTGAGTCCATGGTCGGAGCATCCATGGATTCAGGGGGCCAAATATATTTTTTTTACATAACGGTAGGTACTTTTTACTTTTTACCCAATTTGGATCCCCTGGTGTTACTGAATGACAACTCTCAGCATGTTTGATTATATAGACTGGGGATAGTGGGAATTGCAGCCCAACAGCACTTGTGGCTCTGAGGTTGGGAAAGGATTAAAGGCCATTTTAACCTCACACATCATATGCACAAGACTTGTGTCTAATTTGGAAACCCAGTTTGACTAAACAGAACAAACTGCAGTCTTCTAGGTGTTACCCAGTCAGTTTTAGCTTGTGAATCTGTATTGTTGTAATTGTTGGGCTTGGCCTCATGTTAGCTGTCCCAAGTCCCCTTGGGGAGATAGTAGTGGGGTATAAATAAAGTTATTATTATTATTACTACTACTACTAAAGAGTGAATTTTAACCTGTATTTTAACTCTATGAATCTTGTATTTTAATAGTGTTTTATCTTTTTGTTTTAGCAATGTTGTACACTTCCTTGAGTCACAAGAAGAGATGGGTAATAAATTTGTTGTTGTTGTATCACAATCCCATTGGCTCTATTCATGATGTCTAATGATGAGGAGTTGTAGTCCAGAATGACATGGCGAGCCGAATGTGGTCTACAGGCCTTGAGTTTAAACACATGTGACAATGAGTTTTCTGAGATGAAGGATTTCCCTAATATCAAATCACATCAATCAAAACTTTATTTGTATCCCTCCCCCTTGATCTTGAGGAAGCCATGATGGACCCACAAGGCCACCTACCCAGACTGGGTATAAAGAGAATTCCCATCCTGTTGTATGCAGATGATACAGCCATCCTCTCCAGGTCTAGACCAGGGCTTATACACCAACTCAGGAAATTTCAGAATATTGTGAAACAAACAAGCTAAATATAAATTTCAGCAAATCAGAAGTTCTGGTCTTTGAAAATAAATTCACAAAATATAAATGGTCTACTGACAAATTCCCTCTAGAGCAGGTCAGCAGCTTTCAGTATTTGGGGCTTACCTTGCACCACACCTTATCCTGGAGAGTGCACTCTGAAACAGTGATTCAAAAAGCAAAAGGTATCCCACTCCCTCCCCCTGTGGGGACTCAGGGCAGCTTTAGGCTTAGATTTTCTAATTAGTTATTGCTATTTCGTAAAAGCTACAACAGCTGCTTAATCACAATTCCAACAAATATAGTGGCATTAGGGGAGATGGAGTGGTGAGGAGGTGACCAGCTTACTTTTTTTTAGTTTTATTATGCTTTTATTATTATAATAATAAATGATGTATTAAAGTACCATAAAGAACCCCTATAAATAGATTTCTTCTAAAGGAAATTCATAGTGCATTTAACTATAAACTGTGATGCTATTACTGCAGATTAATTGATAGTAGTAACTGAATGCAGAAATGAAGTACGAGCTGTCAATGAGCAACTCAACTCTGAACTGTAATTAATGTACTGTATGTAAAAAGACAAAAACCAGAAAATCAGTTTTCCCCATTGGAAGGAGCAGAACATTATCTTTCTAGGAAAGATTTTGAATAGTTATTTGTAGACAGTGGACATAGCAAATATATATATTTATTTATTTATTTATTTATTTACGGCATTTATATGCCACCCTTCTCACCCTGAAGGGGACTCAGAGCGGCTTACAATATATATTTTCATACAATATATATAATATATAATATTATATATAATATAATGTATATTTTTATATTAAATATAAATATAATATGAGGTGACCAGCTTTCTGTCCCCTTTAACACTAGTCTGAGTCCATCTCTCCTGGCGCAGGACAAACTTACCTGACTGCTATAGGCAAGGTTGCATATGAGTCCACACTCTATGCAATGGCAGGAGTAAGAGGCCTTCTGGTGAATTGCTAAGAGCTCCAGCCAGAAATCTGCAGAACACCTGGAATTCAGGCAACCTTTAAAAATAAACAAAAAATCCTGGCTTTAGATTCATGCAAGCAAAGGTGATCAGTATATATTGCACATTTCCCCAACCTGCTACCTTCCACAGGTGCTGCATGATGCTTATGCCATTCACAGCCAGCACTGTCAAGTCAAAAGCATAACTCATGACTCTGATGTATAGTTCTAGCTTGCTTGGAGGAAAAAACCAAGACTCGTATCCCACCCCATCTTCTGGTTCACAGCAATAAACCAGTCAATAACCATATGCAAAGAACAAGTAGCTTGCTTAACCACTCTTGCTTGCAAGAGAAGCCAAAAGGGAGTAACTGAATAGCATGTACCAGCATGCTGGGTTTCTCACCATAAGCCAATATTTCCTGGAACCATGGTTTGTCACTAGCTCTGAACCGTCCCAGTGATCCCCTTCCCTATCTTTTCCTGCAATTAGGTTTTATCATATACATGTAAGTGTATGTGATGACAATGTCCATACAAATTACACATTCCAAACATGACATTTAAGTCAAAATTTGGAGTATCTCAGCTTGCATTGCAATTAAAACACACACACACATTCTTTGTGGTTAGCTACATAAAACTGGAGAATGCATGAGATATAAGCAAGGAAAGAAGAGAAGGTGATTGTTTTAGTTCCTTACCAAGACTAACTCTTTAACAAGTGTATTTAGAACTGAAATTTAAGAAAGCATTTCTGGCTCATGATGACCTGAGCAAATGTAGATGTGTATTTAACTTGACAGATTAAACTGACGGCACATAGAAAGTATTTCGCCTCTGACTTATTCATGCTGTAAATATGCATATGTACAGTGTGACCTAACATGTATAGCAGGCATGGGCAAATTTTCTAACTTGGGGGCCACATGGCAGGCTGGAGAGGGGTGGGGAGGGCCAGGAGGGAGGGGGCTCTCCCCAATTCCCCACACTGTCCTTTCCTTTCCTCCCCTTCCTCTTCCCTTTTGGAGGCAGAAAGTGAAGGAAAGACAGAAAACGTTTGGATCCCAAAAGGGTTGGCCTTGGTCAGGATGAGATGGTGGATGGGAGAAAAAAAAGTGTATCCATTAGACCCTGTATTGTCTACTCCTGATATATAATCCTAGAATCCTATAGCAGGACGAGACCCCCTGCCATGCAGGAAGGGGGACCCCCAGTCCAACCCCATGCCATGCAGGAAGGCACAATCAAAGCATTCCCAATAGACAGCCTTTGCAGAAAAGAGAAGGAGACTCCACCACATTCCATGGAAGCCTATGCCACTCTCCAGGAAGTTCTTCCTAATTTTTTCAGTCAAATCCTTTCCCTGCCATTTGAGCCCATTGCTCCCTTGCGCCGTGGTCTCCAGAGCAGCAAAAAAAATCAGTCTCCCCTCTCTTCCTCAATGGGACACCCTTGAAAATCTTGAAAAATGATTCTCATGTTCCATCTCAACCATCTCTTCTCCCAGCTAAACATCCCTCAGGAGGAAAGGAAGAAGGTAAAAGAGAAAAAGAAATACAGTATATTCTGGCGTATAAGACTACTTTTTAACCCAAGAAAATCTTCTCAAAAGTCAGGGGTCGTCTTATACGCGGGTGTAGTCTTATGCATGGGAGTTGTCTTAACTCTATATTTTAACTGGAAAAGTTGGGGGTCGTCTTATACGCCCAGTCGTCTTATATGCCGGAATATACGGTAAGAGAAGAATGGAAGGAAGGAAGGAAGGAAGGAAAGGTGGAAGAGAATGGAGGAAGGGAGGGAAGAAAGAGAGAAGGAAAGAAAGACAAAAGGAAAGAGAGGAAGGAGAAGGGGGGAAGGAAGGAAGAGAGGAAGGGAAGGATGGAAGGAAAGAAAGAAGGAAGGAAGGGAAGGATGTTGTGAGAGAGGAGGGCCTGAGAAGCATCTAGCCCCTGGGCCTGGGTTTCCCCATAGCTGATGTATCATTTATTTAGACATGTATACAGGCAGTCCCCAAGTTATAAACAAGATAAGTTATGTAGGTTTGTTCTTAAGTTGAATTTGTATGTTAAGTTGGAACAGGTACATTTTTAAAGTGTAACTCCAGTCAAAAATATTTGCATTTCTCCTAATCATTAGTGCTAAGCTAAGGCAGAAGTCCTAAATTCATATAGAAACAGAATGTATTTTAGCCTCTTGCATTTTCAAAGTCTAAAACTGGGGCTGCAACTCAAGGAAGCTATGTGGAGCCAATCCTACACCAGACCCTTACCTTCCTTATGTATCTGAACTATATTTTGTTCTATCATGGTATAACATTGGATCCTGATGTTTCTATTTTAACTTACCATTTGGACTGCTTGGACTTCATTTCTCTTCTCAGTCAATGCACTTCAAGCTGTAAAAAACAATCAGATCACAAAACCTCAATACATGAAATATAAAGGCAATGTGTTACTGTCTTAAGAAAATAAATCTAGTTTGACTACAGAATTAGGGCTTGACTGTTTCAGCAGAGTGCAGAACACGGTTTCTTTCAAATTAATAACTAGAGCACTTTTTTAAAAAGTTCAGTGTATTTACATAGTGCTTAATACAATTAAATCCCTGTTAATAGTTTACATTTTTTCATGTCAGGAGTGATTTGAGAGAAACTGCAAGTCGCTTTTGGTGTGAGAGAATTGGCTGTCTGTAAGGACATTGCCCAGGGGATCCCTGGATGTTTTGATGTTTTACCATCCTTGTGGCAGGCTTTTCTCATGTCCCCGCATGGGGAGCTGGAGCTAACAGAGGGAGCTCATCCACGGATTCGAACCTCCAACCTGTCGGTCTTACTACAATGCGATCTGAGCCCTGCCACATGCACAATGGAGGACCTTCTCACAGTGACACTAGAGGCACTCCAAGTGGCCAGCTTCTGGTCAAAGGAAATTTAGTATAATGCCAAGTTTGAATTTTGTGGTTTTTTTATACATTATAACTATAGTCTCAATTTACTTCTGACACAAGAAATAAATAGTGCTGGAGCTGAAGCTTTAATTTCACTCCGTACTGCATCTAAAGTGAATTTATATCCATGAAAACCCATGCTAAAATAAAAACCAGGTCCTCTAAGCTGTTTGATTTCAGCCCCTCCCTTCCTTCCTCCTTTTCATGCTACTATTGCAAATTATTGTAATAGAAAACACCTGATGTTTATCAGAAGTCAAAATCCATTAAGAATAAAAGGTCTAACAAATTCCTCATTTGCTTTGCGGCACTGATTGGAAAACAGAAGAGACAACAAGTGAATTGATTTTAATCTCATCCTAAGAAAAGACCCAAGTAGAAATCATCCCGAAGAGGACTGATCAATGGAAGAGTTTTGTACTATGCCTAATGTTCTTCAAAACCTTTAAAAACAAATTAGATGATGGAACAATTTATTCAGATGATGGCACTTATCAAATTTTCAGATGGCACCCAAAGGAAAAGGTAGCTAATACCGCAGAGGACAGAATGAGAATTCAAAATAAATTTAACAAATTGGAGATGCAGCTAACAAAATGTATTTCAAAGACTAGAAATGGAAAGAAAATACCACATCTACAAATAAACGATGGGTAACATTTAGTGTACTGTCGAAGGCTTTCATGGCCCATTGTATGCTAATCAAGGTGGTCAGTTGAAACATTCACACCTATCTCCAGCAGACAAGAGTCCTTTGTCCCACCCTGGTCGTTCCACAGATATATAAACCCTTTTTCCTAGTTCCAACAGACCTCACTACCTCTGAGGATGCTTGCCATAGATGCAGGCGAAACGTCAGGAGGGTATGCCTCTAGACCATGGCCATACAGGCCGAAAAAACCTACAACAACCCAGTAACATTTAGCTTGACAAAGTGCATGTGAAAAAAATCTTGGTATCTTAGTAGACCACAATGGTGTGATATAGTATCCGAAAAAGCCAATGCACTGACATAAGTATAATGCCCAGATAAAAGTAACAACAGAACCACACTGTTCGGTTTTGGTCAGACCTCACTTAGAATACTGTGTCCAGTTATCTGCCCCACTATTCAAAAAGAACATTGGAACTTTGGAAATGTGTCCAGAGAAGTTCAACCAAGATACAAAATGTGGGGAAACCAAGTCCTATGAGAAATGGCTTAGAGAGCTGGGCATGTTTAGTTTGGAGAAGAAGACAAAGTGGTAAAACGATAGCCGTCTTTAAATATCTGAAAGAATGTGGTGCTTCTTTTATGCTACTCCAGAGACTAGAACACAATAGATTCAAATTACAAGAACAGAGATTCCATCTAAACATTAGGGAGAACATTTTTACACTTTTGAGTTTTTCAACAATGGAATAGTCTGTCTTGGACTCCTTCTTTGGAAGTTTTTAAATAGAGGTTGGATGGCCATCACTCTCAAATGTTGTGGCTGTGTATTCTTGCATGGCTGCGAGTTAGATTAGATCGCCCTTGCAATCCTTTCTAATACTTGAGATTCCATGAATCAATGCAAATGGAACAAGGGAATTCATCACTACAAATCAAAGAAGGACTACATAAATACGTTGTTAAGAGGAAGCAAAAACTCAGTGTAATCCTGCCTCGAATTCTGTGCAGAAACATATCCCCAAGGGGATGCCATATCTGAGAGACTTCCTATTTGTGATGGTACATCAGAGCATTTTACTGGTTGCAAGACAATCAATAGGGCATCTTGTAAAGATCGCTGGGATGAACTAGTCATTCACAGAGGGGGTAATCTGCTAAGTAACCTGATCTCAAGGTATTTAGGGCTAAGCGTGTCAACAACAGAACCTTGAACATAGTCCCGCTAGTTAATCGGCAGCCATAGAGCAATGTCAATAATGCCTGCACTCACACGACACCTTGGAGGAGAGGTCAAGATCAAAATTGAAGACATGGGCAAAAGACCAAGAAATAACTAATAAATTAACTCTAGCTGGCTAGCTCACTCTCTCTCACCTGCCAAGAAACAAAGCTGTCCAGGAGACCCTTGGCCATTTTTCTGAGGTTCCCAAAACTGGTGCTCCTCTCTTTATCATGTCACTATCTGTTCATTTTCTTGTCATCTCTGAGGGCACTTCCAGACAGCATCAAAATGCATTTTTAAAAAGTGGGTTTAAAAATCCTGGGACCTGTCAGCAAGTACAGACGCAAACCTGTCAGTCTCGGAAAATGACTCTCCATCAACCTTACACTTTCCTTTACAAGTTCGCAGGATGGATAGGGGATGGGGGGCATCCGTGCTGACTTCCCCAAAATGTCATTTAGCCACACACTCCTTTTATCCTGGTTTCCTCCGAGTTTTTAGACATGTGTAGAGGTCCCTGAGCATGCAAGCTGGGAGCAAAGGTAAAAGGTAAAGGTAGTTTCCCTCTCCCTTTGCATGGTTTGATACAGAAGGATAGGGCATGTTTCTCTTGTGAAGAAATCCTGCCAAGAAAACCCACAATGACTTGAAGGTGCACACAAAAACAGCAGCAAGCCAAGGCTGAATGTTCACTCGAAGCCAAGGTAACTAAGCTGAGGCTGTTGTATCTTGGACATATACTGAGACAATGGGACTCGCCATAAAAGATAATGCTTGGGAAAGTGGAAGACAGTACCAAAAGAGGAAGAGCACAATACTGGCCTGCTGACTCAATCAAGAAAGCTACAGTCCTGGAGAATTTATGATGAGGGCTCTTGGAGGGCTTTCATGGTGACACCATATGTCAAAACCAATTTGATGACAGATAACAATAAACAATTACCAGTGAGATGCCGAACCTGGTCAAATTCATGGGAGATGAAGCACTTGGATGCAGGCTGTAATCTCCATAACTGAAATTATCTTCTGATTATGAGATGATTACAGGACACAAACCAATGGACATGCCTTACCAGTCAGTTTCTCAAGACTGCCATTGTTGGGAGGCAGACAGAAGGAGGGGATGAGTCTGATGTAAACAAAGCCTTCCAAGTCTAGTTGGCTCACTCTAGCCAGGTTCTCCTGATAATAGAACCATGGAGTAGGAAGAGACTACATGGGTCATCCAGTCCAAGCCCCTGCCATGTAGGAAAAGCACAATTAAAAAAACCCTGATGTCTTCATGATCCAGCTGGGCCTTTTGTAGAGCTAGCATGATGTGGTTTGAGTTTTGGACTATGAGTTTGGATGATAGCTCGGTATCAGAAGAAAGAATTGAAACAAAGTACAGTAAGAGTCTCACTTATCCAACCTTCGCTCATCCAACGTTCTGTATTATCCAATGCAGTCTGCCTCCTGTCCGGATCCACAGCTGTTTCAAAACATTGCAATATTTTAGTGCTAAATTTGTAAATACAGTAATTACTACATACGGTTACTGTATATTGAACTGCTTTTTCTGTCAATTTGTTGTAAAACATAATGTTTTGGTGCTTAATTTGTAAAACATAACAAATTAATTAATTTGTTATTTTGTAAAATAACACAATTAGACATTTAAGAGGCTTTCCCTTAATCCCTCCTTATTATCCAACATTTTCACTTATCCAATATCCTGCTGGACTGTTTATGTTGGATATGCAAGACTTTAAGGTAAATAAATAAGTAAATATGGCTCTGAAAGATCAATATTTGAATCCCTACTCAACCAGTATTTATTATTGTTCAGGTTAGGGATTGCTTTTATGATGTTGTGTTCTTGTGATGTGTTTATTTTATTTCTGATATTTTGATGTTATTTTTGATTTGATTTTATTGTGTCATGTTTTAATCTGTGTTTTTCATGGCTTGTCCCTTTGTAAGCTGCCTCGAGTCCCTTCGTGGAGATGGAGGCAGGGTATAAAATAAAGTTGCTGTTATTATTATAATATATTATTATAAATCACGCTATTTCCAGTTAGTGGTTTGAGCTCTGGTTAGACTATTATTCTATTACTCTTAGTCTAAGAAACTGGCAAAGTCAGATCTCTTCTGGACAAACTGTGCCAAGAAAACCCTGAGACAGAGTCGCCATATGTCAGAAATAACTTGTCGTGAAATCACACGACAGCAAGGTCAACACTGAAATAATTCCCATAGAATGAATTGGTTTGTTGTAAGTGACACAGCCACTGGATATAGGTCATTCAAAACTTGGGAACACTACTAACTCTCAGCAAACTTGTCATTGTTTTTCTTTTTAAAAAATACTTTGAAGGAGCCTTAGGTCTCATTCAAGGACAAGCAAATAGCTTTGTAGTTCTTCAGGCCCATCCACAAGAGCCTTAAGCTACTTACTTCTATTATTTTAAAATAAAATATGCATGCTGCAACTGGCAGTGTGATACACACTCCTGGTCTGTGATATAGAATATTCTCTTTCATACAGATTGCCTTGTCATTTACCTTCATTGCCCACAACAGAGCCTGAGGC